GGCCCCAAAACAAACAGGACCATACGTTATGTCTAGATAAGGGTGACCTGGTGATCAAAACCTTGCAAGAAGACAAGAAAAGCTGCACAGTAAATTTTTTAAGGCAAGGAATTTCAAGACATTCTTCGTGACAACAAACACTGAATACCTTTGCAAAAAAATGTGTTGATGATCAAGGTTGCGCAGGTTACAGAGGTGAAGTGTTAACAATATCTCACGTCCTGTCTACAAACTTGTTTTGAAAGAACTACCACAGTGGCAAAGCTTTAGCACTCGCGTATGACGAAGAACTGACAAGACACGAAGTAGAGGGTACCCAATAGGGTTTTTCTATCCCGTAATCCCGACCCAAAATTTCGGGCAATCCCGTAATCCCGAGGGTTACTTTTGGCATCCCACCTCCCGCGCATACTTTCAATCCCGAATCTCGCCCCGATTTCGCTTTAAAATCCCGAATCCCGAGCCTCAAATAAGGGAAATCCCGCATCCCGAAAAACTTATTGGAGACCCTCGAAGTACATTGCCACGCACTTTAGCCAACTAATTTGAGTTTCGTGTTTATATTACTTCCTCTTTTGTTGTGAGAAATAGTACCAAAGATCGAGTAACGCAATAATAGACATAATCGAGGGCTTTTGGGTAGCAGTCAGTGTCAGTTGAAATTATTTAGTTGTAAACTTGCCAAATCGTTGAAATAATTGGCAGTTTCCCCAGACTCAATTAAGAATTATAGCATCAGTTCTAACCAACAGCCCACGATCGATATATTAAAATTCTAACACGACTTCGAGGCTTTATGGACAAAATTGGAAAAAACCAAATACAGAAATATGACCAGAAAGCCTCGGAGCCGTGTAAGAATTTTAATAAATCGATCGTGGGCTATTTCTTTTCATAATAAAACAAGTCACAGGAACAAAAACCTTGAACACAGAAAAGCAAGTTTAAGTAATAATTAAAATCAGTTATCAAGGTCTGCAATCCGAAGAATGCTACTGAGTGGCCCTTATTGCCTGAAGCAACAATTTTAAGCTTACATCATACTTAAACATACATCTCTTAGGTTGAGTACCGCTCTTAATAGGTCTTATGTACATATTTCGTTGATTATGGATGCCACAAAGTGATTTCCTTTCACTTAACCAGTTTTTGTCTAGTCAGTTGAAACTGTAACCACTGATTTAAGCACAACTTATTGCTGAAAAAGCACATTTACTAGAGATAACGAGACGCTTGATGAGACGTCATCTCTTAAGAACATGTCATAGTTGAGGCATCTCTTGGCGAGAAACCAGTTATGGAGTACATGTCCTTGTGGTCTCTCTGATGTACAGTGTCACATACCGCCATGAATGCCAACTCCAACATCAGTCTCTGCCCTGTTTCCTCAGATGAAGAGAAAATGGACACAAACAGAAATGGGGAAGAACAAGAAAGGAAACTCGAAAGGGCCACAAAAAGAATTCGCTTTTGGAAGTTGTTAACTGTAGCCACATGTGCACTGACAATAGTTTTAGCGGCTCTCTTACTGTGGAAGATAGCTAAAAGCAATACCAGTGACAAGAGCAGGACAACACAAGCGCCTTGTAAAGCAAAGAATGAAACAACACTGTCTTCAGTGCAAGCCCGTTGCCCTCGAATACCAACGGTTCGCCCTTTAACAACTCCTTTGCCTGCCGAGTTAAAAGGTGTCTTCAAGGAACTAGACATCCTTTTGTCGAAAATGGTAGACGAGAAAACATCACTTCCTGCAATTTCGGCGAACGTCTTTTACGGACAGTCTCTTCTCTGGAGCGGTCATTTTGGTAGTAAATTTTCCAATTCAACTGACAACACGAAACCCAACGGCAACACGGTGTATCGTATCGGTAGCGTCACCAAGGTATTTCCAGTGCTTTTGATTTACAAACTGTTTGAAGGAGGAACAATAGGATCAATTGACGACCCTTTGAACAAGTATTTTCCAGAGTTTCACATAAAAAATCCGTTTACTAATGAGAACATTACAATGAGAGAAATAATTTGCCAGATGTCTGGCCTCCCGCGCGAAGCTCCTTGCCGTTATCACTGTGAAGAGACCAACTCCAAGGAGCAACTCGCGCAACTCCAGAACAAAAACCTCTTGTTTCCTCCTTGGAAAAAGCCTTCTTACAGCAATCTAGGATTTGCGCTGCTTGGCAGACTGATTACAGAAAACTTGCTTAACACAACATTCGAAAAGTGGGTTCAAGGAGAAATCCTTGAGCCGCTTAAGATGAATAACACCGGATTTGAAATCACTTCCATGGTTGAAGAAAATCTGGCATTTCCCCATGGTCACCAAGGAAAAAGGATACCTTTCAGCAAGCTTGGTTGGGCATCCCCCGCTGGAGGCATGTACTCCTCTCTTAATGACTTGACAAAACTAGGAATGATGTTTACCCGGCCAAGCAACCAAACCCTCTTCAAGCCATCAACTGTTCGCCAGATGGCATTGCCGGTAGATATCGCTCCAGATGGCCTCACTCTCTGGGGATCGCCTTTCGAAATGGTTTTCTCCAACGGTTATCTGGTCCGAGGCAAGGGAGGAAACATTGACAGCTACGATGCTTACTTCTCGTTTGTGCCTGAACTTGAGCTAGGAATAAACATTTTGATGAGCGGTAGGTCCATTAGCCTGTCCGCCTCGGAATTTGGCAGAGAGGCTTACACCAAGCTTCTTCCAGTTCTCAACAGAACGCTATTTAACTTGGAAGAAACTGCGGTCTTTCCAATTGATTCCAAGGCGTTCACAGGTTGGTACATCGTAAATCAAACAAGCTTTTTTACAATGGAAATTTTTCGATACAATGCAACCATTACAGAAAGAAACAGTGTCCTTATTTTCAAAGGCCTTTCTCAAGTAGCGTATCCATTCGCCATACGATACATTGGAGATTCGTCCACTTTCCAAGCCGAGTTTTTGAGTCCTGGGATGTCTTGCTTCACGGAAAGAGCCGGGATATTCGCTGACATTCATTTCAGTCCCCCAACCCGAGATGGCCTGTCCCAAGGGTTCAGCCTACCACAATGGGGAATTGTTGGACATAGGATAGAGGAAGAACATTAATGGTTCGGATAAGGTCAGAAGTAAAACATCAAGAATATGAAATATATAGTTTCAGGCGAAAAAGTGCTGTTAAGGAAGATTAAATCAAAGTAAAAAAAAAGGACTGCCAACCTTCGTGTCGCCCATGAAAGGGGCAGGGTCTCTTGATTAATAATTTACAATTCTGGGCAAATGCAAATTACATTTGTTGCTTTGTTGAGTCTACATGGCTAGTAACAGTGAACCTCATCCCTTATCCCTGTAAGCTGCGGCGTGTAAAGAAGGTGTGGACGACCCTAATTCCTCACTCATTTTGAATCACAGGGTTGTCTGTAAGTTAACACGATTCTTCAATGCATAAACAACTGCCATTACCAGCATTGCCTGAAGATGATTTCAAAAAAAGACTTCTGAACGTTTAGATGTTAAGCCTTTGACACGAAAATAATTACGCGGTGGCTGCTTCACTTTGCTTTTTCTTCCTGGTGTGAATTTCGCTTGTGATGGCTACCTGGGTGGTCCGCATGTTTTTCGAGCTGTTTGTCTACTTTTGATGTTGAGGATAAAGACTTACACAAAAAGAGGCCAGTTTGATTTACAGCCACAGACGCGGAGCCTGAAAAAATGACAGTTTCTTCTCTGTCTGAGCAAAGAAGTTAATGGAACGAAAATTAAATTTGCTTGTCTTTGCTATGTAAATTTGTTAAAACTCTTCGTTAAATATAGAATCGCAAACATTAAGGCCAATAAAGCTAAAAAAAACACGATGATGATGCAAAACAGCTTATTCAGTATGTAGAGGGATATCGAATAACTCACTAAGCCAAAAATTTCAGTCAGAACCAAGGCTCCCGGACATTCTAGGTGACCTTTTTAGGGTAAAAATCCGTTAAAAATGGGCAATTATACCATTGTTTAGATGTTCGAAAATCCTAGGAGAGGCAGGCAAGCCGGAAATTTTACGGCAAATGTTCCGAAAATTATAGATCTGAAATCGTCTTCCGAACAGATATTTTCCGAAAATTGACGTTGGGTGCCCCTGTTCTGGGACTGTTACTTGGGAAGGGGGAAAAGATTAGCCAATAGCCGACCAGCTCGCAGTAACGATCCCAAAGACCATTGCGCGACGCATTTCTTGTCCAGATCCCTTCTCGTTTCTTCAGTGGTGAATTCCAAATCTAGGCTCGATTTCGGTCAGGTATTACACCTTTTGCTGATCATTTAGGCGAAAAAGATATTCATTTTCGCGAAGTGTAGAATCAATAAGGCGAATATACATTCTATAACACCAAGAAGCACTTCATTAACGCCACGGAACACTTCGCGAAAATGAATATCTTTTTCGCCTAAATGATCAGCAAAAGGTGTATTCGTTCCCTAGGAGATAGATAGCCTGTTCCAAGCGTTCAGATAGTGGAGAGCGGTGCGGAGTATACGAAAGCGATGAAAAGTAGAGGGGGACTGGGGAGAGAGGTGCGGGTTCCCTCTCTCACCTCTCCTCCTCCCTCGCTTTTATTTTTCCGCGCTCCTTTTTACTTCGCACCGCTCCCCACTATCTGAACGCCTGGAACAGGCTAGGAGATAAAGGGGCAGAGCTTTCTTTCTGTATGGCGCCTCAACCCTTTTGTCATTTCCATAAATCCTCTTTCACGACAATAACCGCAGGCAACTTATTCAGTTAAAATAACACATTTATTTTGACAACAGTAACCGACCCTCTCCTCCGCAGAGGTCTTTTTGTGTCGCAGGAAAGCTGGCGAGTGGATAAACCGAAAGCGCGCGAGGAACGATCGGAAGGGGGAGGAGGTATCGCTATTTTTACTGGGATACCCAGCGGAAGTCTCTGCGGAGGAGAAAGAGGAGGGGTGGGGGGGGGGGGTTTGGGAGAGAGCGACAGTAAGCATTGATCTTGTTTCATATTATCGTTTTATATCCCGCTGCCTCTTAGATGTAATAACTCAGTTCGATGTGGCCGAGATCGCGCGTGAACACCAATGTAAGGGGTAAAGAGACGCCGGCGATACAACGGCTGTATGAGAATATGACACCCCGCAATGGCTGCTATCTGAAAATATTGATGTCTGCGACTTGTTCCTGTTGTTTTGTCCCAAAAAGGGAAGAAAATAGTTCGTTTCTGCCAAAAGAACAGAAACAAGCACATTAATCAAAAGGGATGAGCAGTAAACAACGACGCCTTGTTCCAAAGAGATCGCAATTATTCATCTCGAAATTTTAGTGGCATTTTCGTTTTTTCTTTAGTCAGCACATGCGCTAATTAATTAATTAATCAATTTGTCTGTTTCTTTGATTATTTAGCAAGAAACGTATACACACAACTTCAAGAACGTTAGGCTAGAAAAGGGACCTTAATAACGATTTTTCCATTAGTGGTTCTACACCACTAACAGTAAACTTTCTCAAAGCCCGGCACTCACGCAGTCGACTTCTGACAAGTCTACACTAACAGCTGCTTCGTTGCACGCATCTTTAAAAAGTAGTCTTCTTGATTAGAAATTAGAAACGAGGACATAGTTAACGAGTACATACCTTGATGAGTCTGCCATGGCCCCTCTCTCTATTGGCGCCATAAAGCTGACAAGTTTTCCATGAATATCGTATCTGTAAACAAAGAGGGCAAGTTTGTTATCTGAAAACTGGGAATACAGCTAGAGGAGAGAGAAACTTTTCTCGAGAGGCGTCAATGAGAATCAAAAAAATATTTTCCAGGGTAAAATTATTAGTCAATGAAGCATAAAAGCTCCGAGAAAAAAGGATACCAGAATGTCCGTAATAGAGAGATGTTCGTATTATGGAGGGGAATACGCACCCAAGTGTCCACACTGAAGAATTGTCTGCATAAAGAAGTAGGAATTGCATGAAGTTTGGTGTCCTAGAGTTCATGAAAACTGACCGTAATCGAGACATGGCCGTCTTATAGAGGTAGGGATTGTATGAGGTTTGGTATCTTTGCGACCTACAAAAAATCTCCATGATAGATTGGTGTTCATTTTATGGTGGGGGAGACATACCCAAGTGTCAACGTTACAGAGGTGTCTCCATTGTAGAGGTTGGGGCTGTACATGGTCATGGTAAAAAAGGGGACTATCAATGGCCGTTTTCACACTAGAGACGGATTCTCCGTCTGAGACGGAGAATCCATCTTCAAAATCCGTCAAACTTTACGGAAAAACCGATGGATAAAGTCGATTGCCCATCCAATTAAGACCGTTCCATTTTCATTGTCTGACACAAATTATCCAACGGATAACCCGTCTTAGACGGATAATCTGTCTCTAATGTGAATACAGCCATCAATGAAGTGATGTCCGTATCTTAAAGGTAGGGATTGCAAGAAGTTTGGTAGCTTGGGGATCAAGAAAACAAACTGTCCAGAGAGGTGTCCGTACTATTGTGGTGTACTTTAGCAAGGTTTCCACTGTATTTTCCCGAGTAATATTACTGGTTTATCAAACATAAAATAAACCCTGTGATAGACAAAGGAAATGGGAATACACTGTATCAAGATCATGTCTCCAGTTTTTTAAAAAAAACCCCGAGATAGCATAATAAGAAACACATTGAGAAGAGAGTGAGATTTATACGGAGTTGAAGTGGATGGAAATAACCTAGTCTTTTGTGAGAAGGAGAAAAAACGAACCATCTACAGTAGAGATACTGTGTAGGCTAACAAAGAAAGCTTACCTTATTTTTCGGCCTTTGCTCGCTTTGGTGTCAACTTTCTTTTTCACTTTTCGCCGAAGCTTTTGAAGTTCAAGCCACTGCCTGAAAGTGTCATTTTACAGAAGAAACAAAAAAGCTTTTAGTTCGAATGGCGCAGTAATCTGTTGGAGACCAGCAAGAGAAATACTACATGCACTTTATTTTATGCAACTACAACTACATGTAAGGTGTAAATTACAAACATGGCTCACGGTTACAAACTGTTTAATAACAAACGCAAAAGCTTTTGATATGTAGCTACTTGAATACAGTTTGGTAGGCCTGTGATATTACCTTCCCATTTCAATTGGATTTCCTGTGCTTCCACTTGTTCGCTGCTCTATGAATTCCCGCAATAGCTATCAAAGACAAAAACAATTAACAGCTCTAATTAGCCTGGCTACTTAGATTTAATTTAAAGAATTGATGGCATGTGGGTACTTTCCAACACAACAGGGAGCTTTAGCAACGACGACGGCGAGGGCAATGAGCACGTCAAAAAAGAAACATGTTTATCACGAAAAACAACAAATTTGCACGTGCATCACGCTTTTTGTACATTTTTTCGCTGTCACTGCACGACTACGACGTGAAAATGCCTAATTTCACGTTTCTTGGAGAACGTATTAAAAAAGCGATGACGAACTTTTCTTTCTCTTTATAAACTTGAGTGCGGTCCGCACGAAATCAGCTCCAGAGGAATTCGCCTACATTTGACATTTTCGGCGCATTGGAATAAACGCGACAAAGCTTGCAAAAAAAAAAAGGTTTTCGCTGCCATCGCCGTCGTCGCTGCTAAAGCTCCCTAATAAGATCAAGTGCCGTACCGTTTTAAGCTGGGTTAAAGTTTGACGCGTGCTGTCCTATTACACAGACCTCTCAGTACTGAAATCAGGATAGTTGATATCCAATCAGATTTGAGAATTTTGCTATAGTTATGCAATCTTTTTAGGTCTGTGGACATAATCCTGGGTTTTTGCACAACGTAAATTGGCATTGCCTTTTCTTAACGAAAAGACACCATCAGAGGTCATTACCTGATGATAAAAGTCATCATCGTCAAATATCTCGGGGTCATAGTCTCTTAAATGAACATCTGACTGCTCCTGTAAATAAATTGATGGAACAATTAGAGAAATTCCCCTGATGGTGAGCTTATTCACCAGCACAATCAAGTTATCCCAAATGCGTTTATCACGGACTCAACTTGAATTGGACGTTTGCCGTTTGCCGTATAAGTGAAGCTTAAAACTCTCTAATACTGTAACTTTGGGTGATGTTAATGTATGTAAGGTAATCATCCTCGGAGATCCAGGGACAGGACAAAAGGAAAAATGGCGATTCCGCCCTGACAAACTGCCCCTGGGTCTCCGAGGATCGGTAATAATAAATCAAACTGAAAAAAAAAAATGAATAAAGAAAATTGTATTTCATTAATAAACGCCCCACCAAGATTAAACGCCGAACTCAAGAAAACGCCTGGTCAAAACTGCAGATTTTAATTAAACGCCCGGGGCGTTTAATCGAGAAAATACGGTACAAATATACTCTCGTCCATTTTGTAGCTCAAAGCCTACAGCTGTCGAAAGATTCTTAGAACAAACCTCGCTAGACTCCATGTTTTGTCTTTGCTCCTCTTCTGACTTTCCCAGCACTCTATACGCGGAGCGTTTCAGTTGAGTACGCTTGATAAGACGATCTTTGTCGGACAAAATCTGAAATCATGAAAGGATTCAGGAAATATAGGCAAGTAGCCCAAGAGAGAAAAGCCTCTAACATATGAGGAAGCTTATGCTCATTTAAAGACAGTTAAAAAATACGATACATTTAACAAACTCAAGTGGAACTACGAGCCGCAGGCGAGTGGTTTCACTGCAAAGTTTTGAACATTTTATGGCGTCATTTCTATGGTCCATAAGAGCGTAGACCATGAAAATTGTGGTCGATTTGTTTTTTACAATAACTTTTATCTTTTTTACGAAAAACCAAAAACAAAACAACCGGCACTGCGTGACATGTTACATCATTCCCATGGTCTATACTCTCATAGACCATAGCTCTCGACCAATCAGCGCACGAGGATTCGCTCAGTTATTGTAAAATTTCTTTTCTTTCTGTCTGACGACTTGGCCTCACGTGTAAGATTATTGACACCCGAGAAAAACTGGGGTGCGTTCTTTAAAGAATTGATGGCATACGGGTACCATAGACGGCTATACTTACATGATTTATCTGTGCTAAAGCTGATCTGTCAAAGGAGCTGAAAGACTACAAAAAAGCAGAAAGCTAGTGTCAGTAGGACACATCATTCCGGTTAACCATTAACATAGTTTAAACTGGGAACGAAAAATCAGTCGGGCTGACTTGAGAAAATGACACGAAGTTTTTATCCTGAATTCTTGGTAATAAGGCTGCCGGAAAACGGTCCTTGATATTCTGAGTTATTCTCAAGAGAACAGGGTGCAAAGAAAGTCAGTTTTACAGCCTGCCATTCAAGCAAGCTGTAGCTAGCATACAGTACTAGCTCACAAGTCATTTCAACTAGCCCCAAAACCCTTTTTAATTAGCAGGATTGATTACAATCCTTCTGCAATTTGAATTTCCCCCCAAAAAAAACAGCACTTGCCCGTCAGGCAAGTTAAGAACAAAAATCACTAGCCCGATTGCAACATCCACTAGTCCCGGGCTATCAGACACGACTTTCTCTGCATGCTTCAGAACCCTGTGAATATCATTTACAGTAGCAAGCAACAAGTTATCTATAATAAATATAATAACTAACAAGCACACCCCATTTATGCCTGATCTGACACAAGCAGACATTATTTACAAATACCTTACTGTTTAGCTTCCCTGAAGCTAAACGTGTTTTTTCACTCCACTTTGATATTGTTGTATCTCTGTAACTTTTGAAGGCAGCATGTCGTTTTGAAATATATTCTGCGTACTCTGATGTAGCCTATGAAGATAGAGGAAAATTTTAATTTCTTTCACTGGGGCTGCCAAAATATTTTCTTAATTACATTTGACTATATGTAAATGTTGTGATTATCACCTGAAGAAATAATTTTTCAGTGCTGGTTGACAAGACCACTGTTAACAGTATCCTTACATCATAATTTTACATGAGGAGGCCAAAAGAATGTTTGCAAGGTAAGCTACCAAATTATTATAGAGGTAGGAGTTGTATAATAGACCAACTCCACTGTCTGAATTCGACAGGGGCACTTATAAGCTAAAGTTTAACCATAAACACAAGTAGGGTACAACAACCTTTCAGGCAGTACTGTTGTTTATACCACAATCACACTGCTTCTTCAGGACAAGTCCACAATACAGACATCTCTCTATTACAGATGGACAATTCTGTAATTCAAAAATCCACCATGGTCCCTTTGCTGTCTGCATTAAAGAAGTCTTTCTGTACGTTGTAAGTCCCACGTAAAACCTCATCTAGCCTTTTTCCTTTGCTTCACAAGGAAAAGGGACATGGAACAAAGGAAACCAGAGATGTCGGCACAAAGGCTAAAACTTACCATCTCATGTTTTCTCTTGGCAGGTAACTTCAGACTATTCTCTGCCCCCTCATCCATGTTCTTATCCTCGCTATTTTCACCAACATCATCATCATCATCATCACTTTTTTCATCTTCAGTATCACTGGGAATTTCCTCATCATCATCATTGCTACCATGAGCGGAACTTTGCTTCGCTTCAGTTCCTGGTACCAAAACACTTGCAGTGTCTGGATTCTGTTCTAGCAGTTTCTCTTGAACTAAGAGCAAGTTTCCTAGAAGTTTTGCCAAGGCTCTCTTTCCTGCAAATTGTCACACACAAAAAAAATCATAAGACTCTGGAAAGGGAAAAAGAACCATTTCACACTACGCTAAAAATTAGAACATGATGTACACATTTTTTTTATAATTTTCACCATGAGTTTCTCAAAAAGAATTGTCTCCTTGACATACAAAAGAAAATAACTCAACACTTCAACTAAGGCTGGTCCAGTTTGGTGAATCATTCTCACATGAATTGAAAATCACTGATCAACAACTGAGTCTTGACTCTTTAGTGACTTAGAAAAATTTTTTCCTCGAGACACCAAACAAAATTACTCAAAACTTGGGCTGAGTCTGTTCCAGTTCGGTCATACTCACATGCGATGCGATGCGATCACATCACATCACATCATATTATATTATATTATATTATATTACATTACACCCTTCCAGCTTGCCCTTCACCCTAAAGACGTCTGTAAAGGGGTTTATCAAGCATCAAGTGTCAACTTACTGTACCTTGTTTGTATTCGTCTTTCAAGTTCTTATCTCCAGAGGACTTGAATTCTTCTATCTGTTTCTGTTGAGGTAACTTGTTGGCAACTAGGAGGGCTTTCTGCAATCTAATACGCAATTCAAGAAAGCTGTCCCACAAACCTGCAAAAGAAAATCCTGATACATAAAATAACCTTATACACAGGAAAAAATAACGGATTCCCATTTTTGGATATTTTAGGGTATTTAAAGAATACCCATAAAAATCCGAAATTTGGCAAAGTGAGACAAGTCCCAACCAGGGAATTCCCAACCAAGTTCCCTAATTGGGACTTATCTCACTCTTCCAAATTTGGGATTTTTGTGGGTATTCTTTAAATACCCTAAAATATCCAAAAATGGGAATCTTTTATTTTTTCCAGTGATATACATGTACTACTACAACCAGCCACCTCTATTTTCATGTACATGAACAGGCTGTGATTTACAACCTTATTATAAAAAACTGGGTCATTAAATAATGCAATTCCAAGGTTCAGACTACAGCTGTACATGTAGCTGTAACTCAACTTGAATAAGTTATTTGAATGATATGTAGTACATGACTTGTTTCAAACATTGTTTTGTACATCTTTCCACAGTAAAAAATGTTTTAGGCTTATTTGGAGAAAATATAATAATGAATAAACAAACTCATTGTCCTTTCACATCCTTCTTACACACATAAAACATACATTATATCTACTGTACTACCCCTCCTTTAATAGTTATTTTTGTAAAGCTGTCAAGGACTGGAATGCGCTACCAAGAGAAATTGTTAACATTAAGTCCTCTGATCGATTGAAAAAAGTCTTATTTGAGCAATTCAGTCAAGGGAAAAAGCCGTGGGAATGACCTTGTGATGAAAATAAATATTGTACAATAATTAACTCCATGAATATTTTCATTCATTTTGTCTTTTGTAGGAGATTTTGTTATAATTATCATTTTTAATTTTACTTACATTTGTATTTAACTAGATGTCTTGTGTGATGGCACCCCTAGAGAAGAATTTTTTTTTAAATAAAGGTTGAAGTGAAACATCACTTACTTAGCTGGTTTCTGGCAGCTTTTCCTTTTTCAATATCCTCTGACAAGCTTGTTGCAGAAAACTTTTGAATAGCATCACTACCTGCATCATCTTCTAGTTCTTCTTCCCCCTCCTCCTCCTCCTCCTCATTGTCATCATAATTATCGCCATCATAGTTGTCATCATCCTCACTATCATCATTGTCATTGTGCTCCAACTCATCACCCAAAAAGTTCCCATCCTTTTCATCATCAGAGTGTCCACTATCCTCCTGCTCAAAATCAGTTACAGGACGTTTATTTCTTTTTCTTGAATCCACCACTTGAATACCATCATCATCCTCACTTCCATCATTTTCAACTGCATCATCATCATCATCATCATCATCATCATCATCATCATCCTCTGATTCTCCTATTCCATTCAGAAAGTCACCTTTGAGTACGAAACATTGGAATTGGAAAAAATAATACCATGTTAGTTCTAACTCAGAAAAATGAACACTGACATTCTTACATTTTCAGCAAGAAAGATTATTGTATAATTCCCTTCCAGCATGTTATCATCAACCTTTAGACCTAAAACTAATAGTGATCAACACTTTATCAGAAGCCTGGAACTCATGAATAGGACTCATCTGACCATTTTGCAAGGGCTTTTTGTTTCACCAATGAGTCGTTTCACTAACTTCCCGTTCACTAATGTCTTATGGTGTTCTGCTAAGAAGCGAGACGAGTGCTGAGCATGTATAATATGCTTCATTCTCTCAGCCATGATACAAAAAAGTGCGATACACATGTATGTACCTCGTTCTTTCAGCCAATGATCAAGCACAAGTTGTTAGGGAACTGACCCAACACGTACTCGAAATGACTTCAGAAGTTAGGGAACAGGACATTGTCAAAACGACTCGTAGGCGAAACGACCGTAAACCTTTATCATTTTGCAACCATTGCAAATGTTCATGCAGTGATTTCACTGACACTCCCTCAGTTTTTTAGCTTTTGACCTGGCCCAGAAAAAACAGCGAGTTTGGGGTACATATCATGTTTCACGTTAATGTCAGCTTTTGGCATTCGTAATTCGGGAAATAAGCTTCCAATCTGTACCACGTGTGCTTCCGACAACTGTATTAGATGGACTATAAAATCAGAAATATTAGATCAATATAAGGCCAGTTATTCAGTACCTTGAAAGTCATTCTCTCCTGCACTTTCGTCTTCGGTATCTGATCGACCCACCTGGTCTCTTGACACTTCGAGTTGAGCACGTGTAATCTTTCGGCCGGCGTATTTCTTGTCCTCGTCTTGCAAAAGCGTCACCGCTTTCTTGCGCAAATTATTACCTCTAGAGACATTTTTCTGTTCTGAATTACCAAAATCCGTATCTTTATTAGTTATCTGCGCTCTGGTGAGATCAAATTCATCATCATCCAGATCAAAACGGCTTGGTTCGGGATTTGCGAGAGCACGAAGTTGCTCAGCGAAAGACGCCATATTGGATTTGTTCGACAGCTTGGTATCCTGGCCTATTTCGAAATAAAAAGAAATTAGAAGTGGGGGAGTGGGGTGCGTGCTAACAAGTGCTAAGATTATATTGCTTGGAAATGCTTCTTTTTTTCATTCTTTTACGTTCTACCTTTGTTGATTTCTTCATTTTTTGCGTTTAGAGAATATGATAAAATAACAGTAGCATTCTTTCGTCGAGTCGACTACACTGCGCTCGTTTCAATTGGACGAAGACCCTCCCGGAAAGCAAATTCTTTCCCCAGGGAGGATGACATCTTCCGCTAATGACGTAATTTGTTGTGGTTCCTTCGATCACCTGAAAATGGCGCTCGAATCCAGCGGTTCACCGATCGTTTCGAGCGCTTTCTTGCACAACTTACCATCAAAATCGCAAGTTGATTGTGCAGAAACGAATGGCAATTCACCACATCTTTCAAGGCGATCGCTGAATGAGATAGAGAACTCCGAGAAAAGTGGAATTCCGTTGAATACTCCATGGACGTTGTGGCATGACAAGTAATCCACCGTAGCAAATTATTTTATTCTTTTCTTCCCTGGTCGTTTTCGAGTCGTCTTCTTTTATATTGTTATTTTCAGATATGTGCGTGGAGCTACGGCCGCAGAATATGCTGCTAATCTTCGTAAATTGTACACAGTAACGACGGTTCAGGTATTTCTTAGTTAAGGTTATTTTCGATGTTGAAAAGAAAAGGTTTCATATAAGCTCATAGGTTGCTAGTAATTTGAGCTGTCAAACGTTGACAGCCGAAGGTTCCTGTAGCGCAATAATTACCAAAAGTCTTGAAATGAGGGCAGCATTTTGTACTTTTTGCTAAATAAACCTATTATAAACAAGAGAAAGCAAATCGTCGTATGCATTTGTATGAAGTAGTCAAAAAATAAAGCCATATATCGATAATATTTTCAAGACTCAAGTGTAGTGTTTTGACTGCAAAAATGAATAAATTAAGGGTGGCAGACTTGTCATTTTGTTTATGGCGATTGCACATCTATATTCCTAGAAGATGAAAACATGAAGTTTTATCAGTACTCGCACTTGATAAATGGACCAAAAAAGAATTATTTGATTTCTTAAAGCTTAAATATAATTATGGCACATTAAAGATATTGATTTTTTATGGGGTTCTGTCTATATGTCGACGTGTACGTACACCTGAAAAGGTATAGATTTCCTTTGTTAAAGATTGTCGATGTTTCAATGTTCAGCTGCACAGGAAACTCGAGCATCACCAATTGTTGTGTTATTGTTAAACTATGTATATTAAATAGAAAATTCCAAGCTCAACTAAGAATTTTTATTTTTTGGGAAATAAAACCACATGTTCATGCACATGTGTGCAGCATTACTTTCTGTTATTGAAGGATTTGGGGCTATCATGAGCTTCAGTTTATGGAAAGGATGTGTTACACCTTTTTTTTCTTTTTCTTATCCTTCTCCTTTTTTTAAGCACTGAGGTTGGTGTGGAATCTACATGTCATGTAATGCATATGGTCCTGAAATAGGACAATATCAGACAGTTGTGCATGGCAACCAAAAGATCATTAGTTTTCATAGTCCCAGATGGGACTGCACTACTTTAAATATAATTGACGCCAAAAATGTTCTAGAAGACATAACACAGAAAATAACTCAACATCTGCATTAATTTTATTTCCTTGTCTGTGTTCGGTAAATACACGTAGGACCCCAATGGGCTCCTGTTTAACTTTCATGTGCTTGTGCTTTATGTGCCAACTTAGATTGTATCTTCTTGTTCCATACATGCCTTTGTTCTTGTTTTTCTTTTCTTTTCTTTTTTTCTGTTTTTTTTCCTCCTCTAGAGTTGATGTGTATAGTACAGCGTACAGTATGTTTTCCTCTGCCCACCTTAACTTGCCGAGTTGCTTGGAAGCAGAGGATATTTAGAATATTTAATTTAACAAAAACTGTGTGCATAATTCTATCTTCTTTCTTTGTACATTATTGAAGGTTGGTAAATTACATGTACCCTCTTATGTATATATTATTATTTTAATATTATTATAGAGTTTCTGGAGTGTGTTTAATAACATCCCTCGCACCTCATGTCTGGATATGAGAACAAGTTATCACTTTATGCGTGGAGAGAGAAAACCACTTTGGTAAGTTAATAAAACCACTTTGTTGCATAGTCTTTGCACATACTTGTTGATCTCCCTCACTTTCAACACAAGTTTAAAAGTCCCTCCCTTTTAGATTAGGGTGCAAAACCATGGGCCTCATCTCTCAGCTCTCTCATTTTTCTAATTCTTGTGGGATGTTATAGAACCTACACTGCCGTTCATAAACAGAAGGAGACATAGACCCCAGTAGTATGGTCAACCTTTAAACGTGTGCTTCGATCTATGGGCATGTATTGCTGTCAGTAAAAAACAGGTCTTGATCTAAATGATAATGATGATGATGATGGTAATGATGATGACAATGATTATGATCATGATGATGTTGATGATTTTAATTGTTGTTTGAACATCAACAGGGAGGACAAGGAAAATGTTAATGGTGGTTATTGGAAAATGAGGTGTGCCAAGCACAATACAGTAAGTTTAAGAGTTAGCGTTTGCAAGAATTTAATTCACAACGGGTGCACTAGACCTATATTCACAGCAGAAAACATCCTTACAGCTGTACAATGTACATGTATAACAAAAATCCCTACAATCTTTTTCTTTTCTTCAATTCTGTACCTACTTTAGGCAAGGTAATTTTTATTTGTTTACTTTTATTATCATTAATTTTTTATTGAACATTATTAGTAATTAATAATGCATTATTGTTATTTTTGTTCTTCTTCTTATTTATTTATTTACAAACTGTGTCTTTTATTTATTACATAATGGTATCATTTTTGTGTACATGTATGTCTCCATAATAGTAACAATTTTATAGATAACCTGAACCTCTCCCAGTCTTTTGATGTTGTTTAACTTTTTTCTTGTCAATAGGATAAAGTGTGGAAAGAGTTGCTTTTGGCAGCCATCGGTGAACAATTTGTTGATAGTGTCAGACAAGGTAGAAAACATTTTAATAACAAAAACCACCCTTATCATAATAAAAGTAGCTTTATTAAGGTACGGAAAATTATTTTATTGAAGATAGTTCTTGACAGTAAGGGAAGGTTGTTAATACAGTTTACCCAGTGTTTAAGAAAAAAGGTCTTTTTCTGTGTTGATCCATTTTCAATTTTCCGACAATGCTAGTTAATCATTTCTAAAGTTATGATGAATAGTTTCTGTAAAGCATAAAGCATCTTTTCTATAGACTTGAAAAACATTTGTCCTCTTAATTTAGCCCACTTAAAAACAGATTGAGAGGATCGAGTTAAATAATTTCTTTACAAGTAAAGTACACAATTTAGTGAGAATTCATTAAAATAATGTAACCACCCATGAGATGAGGATTGTCAAGATTATTCTGATGTGCATATTATATTTCTAGCACAAATGGATATGACTATTGTTTCAAATTTTAAAAAAAATTTTGGTACTTTTTAGATGATGAAGTGTGTGGTATCAGTGTTTCTGTGCGCGAAAGAGATGACATAATTCAAGTGTGGAATTCAAATGCTTATGCTGTTGAAGATGCAACGGTAAAATTTTGATTTTGCCTGTCATTTGATTACAGCTAATTGTAAAATTAATGATAACTTGTACATGTACATGTACATGTAGTCATCTATTAATACTGAATTTGTATAATTTAAGTAATTTATATTTGTAAAAAGTTTTTTTATTGCTGTGATCAGTTGTCATGCATCAAAATTGAATCATGTTTGCAGAGAAAAATATCCATGCAGGCACTTAATCTGAATTGTTTTGTGTGTATCAGATATTGGACAAATTGAGGGACCTTGTACCGGATGTTGACTTGTTTGATGATTTCTATAAATGTAAGAACAATTTAATTGTTATAATCTTTGTGATTTGTGGCCATTACTGTACTTGTAATTTCAGTTGCCATGCTTGTTGAGAGATGGAGTTTTTATGCGACCTTTGACTGTCTTGTAATAATAAATTATCTTAATTAATTTCTGTTTACTATCATTCTTTCCAGCACACCAAGCTCATGAAGCTTTTGAAGGGGCGAAACCCAGGCCCACAAAGCCGCCTGGTTTTCCATTTGGGAGGGACTGAAATGTCCATTCTCAAAGTTTCCTGTATAGAGCTGTGAAGCAGAGTGGTTAGCCTGCGCATTACCCAAGTTACATCTTTTAAAAATCACTGTTTTATGCTTTAGTGTTGGGTAGCCTTTGACCGACTATGAGATGCATTATCATGTTTAGTGTACATTTGTTGCAATTGATCCTATGCTGGGGTGCTTGGGTAGACTGTGTACAAATGGTCTGAGGGTGACCCACGGACCACGCCCGCAAAGCAGTGGTTGATTTGAAATTTTCCAGCAAGCACCTCCTTTCTTCTCTGTAGGGAGGTACAGGGAAGTACCATCAACCACCCTGTGGGGCCAAGCACTGAAGTTAACCCTTTAAACCCTAAGATCAAAACTTGAATTTTCGTTTGTTGCCCCCATTTGTTTCCTACAGAAGTAGTGGGGAGAAGTTGATAAAATATCAAGCAAATTCATCTTGTGTGATCATGTCAGTAATTCTCATATGACCACTCTGTTTTACAAAGCATTGATGTTACAAGGAGAAATTTGATGCTGATCACTCTTATGGCTTAAAGGGTTAAGCACATCGCTGCTTGATAACACCCGTATGTATATAAATAGCAGTAACAGGAACCTCTGATCAGCTTAACCTCAATTGAATTCATGATCGACTCGGTGAAAGTTCTGAGTAGTTGTAGTTGTTTTAGCTCATAAAGCCGTTTAATGGGCCTTTGTTTTCTGACTGTAAATCATAAAAAAGATCAAAGTTATTTGGCCTGTGAAATTCTTTGTCAGACAATTTGTTCCACAGAAAGAAAGTCATACAACTTTATTATTGTTAAGCTAAACGTATTGGCCTCATTTTCTTGGTTTGTAATGTAAGTTAATTAGGGATCCTTGTGTTTTGCTTCACCCTAGAGCCATTAATTAAGTGAAGAGGGTGAAGAAGAGGGTAGGCGAGAACTTGGTCCATAACTTATTTCAGTACAAACCTCACACTTAGCTAAGTAAGATTTATTTATACACGTTACAAGTGTCTTTATTAGTTATAAATGGGCTTGACTATTTCTAATTTCCCTAGTATGTACTTAGAATATCGTTTTTACATAAACAATAATTATGTTATATATTGCATAACATTATGTATAAAACTTTTTTATTAATGTACGGTCGGATGAGGTTGCATTTGTCTGTTGGAGATGCATGTAAATGTAGGGAAACTGTATATACATGTACATGTGTGATGCCATTAGTACAGTAATGAACAGAAATTTTATTTTTACATTTTATATCCTAGTGAATAAATTAATGCGAGAGTGGTGGATGCTAGCATAGAATTGGCCTTCGAGCAAGTTCTCTTTGGGGGAAAGGCGGACAAACTGTAGATCTTTCAGTTTTCAACAATAGCTTCAACAGTAAGGGACTAATATTACACGACTCAGAAATTTGTGGGGAGGAAATCCAGTGATCCCAAGGGACCAAAAGGGAAAGGACACCACGTTTTATTATTCAGTCTAAATATTTCACCGTTTCTAATTGGCTCTAATTCCGCGGCTTATTCTTCATAACCAGCTGGCACTAATCTTATTGGAAGGTGCAAGCAATATACCATTTATTTGATGGTAACTATAACCCATGAATCAACCTCGTTTTCAGGTGCGGAAGCCTACTAAATGACCGACCATTTGACTTTTTTTTTTTGAAGGGGGCTGGTATGGATCTTGCAGACGGATTTTGAGGGGAAAAAATTATTGCAAGGAAATACCTGGGGAAATAAATTCCTACACTGAAAAGAAATATCTTTCATGGCCCTTGTATTTCAGGAAAAAAATTCTATCACCAGAGTCTCGGGGAAAAAATTCTTACCCAAGACCAAATCCAAACCCCCGCCCCCTCAAAAGAAAAAATGGTTGGCCCCTAATTGTTTATTCCTGAGTGAATTTTTAAAAAATGGCATCTGTGGTTACCTGAAGCCGAAATAGCTGAATTTCTAACTAACTGAACAGAGGAAATGCAAGAATGCGCAAAACATATTGCTCTATTGACGTTATCTACTTTTTGAGGAGTATCTGCAAGAAAAAAAAAACATCTGTTTGTATCTTGAAACCGTGCCAAGAAAAAGGCCAAGTCTACGAGGAAGTAAGCTTGTTAAGAACCTAGAAACGTTTTTAAATGAATAATAAAGCAATTATTATAGAATTCGGCTTTCGTATAC